CCTATAAAAAAGTATTATTTTACTGCATTGAGCCTTTAATCCAAACTCTAAATAAATGCATTTGTTTTAACATAGTAAAAAGAAAAGGTAGAGGTAAAAAAAAGTGTTTGTAAGTTTAACCAATAATATTTTGTATTAATTCTTAGTGGTCTATGTACCTGGGGCTGTGGCTCTGGGTTTGTCTCAAGTAATCTTGCTCCTAGCCGTACAGGTTCATTAAAGCCTCATAGACTTCTTTGGGGCTTGTCCACTCTTGTCTTTCGGTTGTGAGATGAAGGTAGACAAGCTCCATAGACTTCCTAATTCTTAATGATCATTATCAAAACATTTATTTCCCTCATCATTTCTAAATAAAAGTCCTCAGTCAGTTCACTTGATTTTGATCTATGTCCAATATGTTATATAAATAAAATGAAAAAGTTTCTAATTAATATAATTGTGAGGTCTCGCCTGGGGCTGACCTAGAAGAACACTGAAGAATGTTTATACATTTTTAAACATTTATTTCAATTCAGCATCTACTGAGTCTTAGGGGGTTATTCACTAAAGGGTGAAGTGTTTGGAGAAGGCAGGAGAAGTGAACAATCTAGGACAAAATAGCTGAACTGGAAAGTGAACCGAATTGGAGACATTTTCCAAATCAGCTATGTTGTCCTAGATTGTTCACTTCTCCTGCCTTCTCCAAACCCTTCACCCTTTTGTGAATAACCCCTTTAATGTTTTCTCAGTTAAGCAATGGAGGGGCACCATTGTTGGGCTGTGCTTGGGCTGTACTCATTTGATCTGATTTGTCTGTACAGCTTTTACAAGGCATCTCATATAAATTACATAAGGGGTAATTCACAAAAGGGTAAAGAGTTTGGAGAAGGCAGGAGAAGGTAACAATCTGGGACACCATAGCTGAACTGGAAAGTGAGCTGAATTGGAGACTTTTTCCAAATCGGCTATTTTGGCCTAGATTGTTCACTTTTCCTGCCTTCTCCAAACTTCTCCCTTTTGTGAATAACCCTCATAGTGTATTCTTACAGTTAAGAACTGACTTTACAGGAAGGACGAAAACAAGGACTTAGGAAGGACTTCCTGTGCTTGTCCAGTCCAGTGCACCAACAATGTGTATAAAGGAATGTTTTCCAATATGGAAAAAAGGAATGATCATAGATGTGTTACATAGCATTACATAATTTTTAAGATTGAAAAAACTCTATCTAGCTCAAATATGATCTAATTCAGATAAAAAGATTTTCCAACATAAGATGTTTGCTAGTCTTGTTACCATTTAGAGGTTACCTATGACACTGCCCCATTGCCACAAGAAATGTGTAAATAAGTTTTATCTCTAGCAGCATTTGGGTCAGCATGTACACATCTGGTCAGAATAGGTTTTATCTCTAGCAGCATTTGGGTCAGCATGTACAGAGCTGGTAAGAATGTCAAGTGATTGGCCATACACCAGTAGGATATTGTTCAAAAACGTTCGATTTCTGAGAGTTTTTTTACATTTTATAATGGTTAGAGGGGTCTAATTGACATTTGTTATCGACCATAGTGATGAGGAAGATTAAAGGAACAGAATAGACATTTTTTTCTTGTTTCTTATCTGAACGAACAAAATTCTAACCGTGAATGTGATTTCTGAAAACAAATTGTACACACATATTGTATTGCACATGTGATAGACAAAAAAGAACCCTGTCTAATACATCTGCGATTCCATTTACGTAGCAGGTCTGGATAAAATACTTAAGGGCTTTCAAACTAAATTAGTTGACTTAATGATGGCAAGATCGAATGCTCTGATGAACAATTTTGAAGGAATGTTCCAATAAAATTCTAATTTGTCTAGTGTATGGAAAGCTTTAATCTCATAATATGTATAAAGTCTAGTGGCTTCCGTACTGTCTGACCCACAGAATGCTTATTAGCAGTTCTGACTTCACTTGCTGCATGCTTATGATTATTTAGGGACCGTAACACAGCAAGATACAGCCAGAAAACTAGCATTTTCAGGAGGTCAGAAATGGCAGCCTCCACTTTTCTCTTTGGATAAATCTCCTTTAAATCAGTTGCCCTGCAGGCAAAAATCCACCTTCATATGTGTCAACCATACATAAATCTAGACCACTTTTTTTTGTAATCAATTCTTCAATTGCTAAAATGCTGACTGGATTTTACACAGGTAGGTGCTAAGGAAAAACATGACATTTCTTTGTAAATCCATTCAGAAGAAAAGGTGTTGCAAAGAAAGATGCTATGAACCAAGATCTGATCAGCATTCTCACTGCAAGAAAAACAAACACTCCATAGTGTACCCTTAATTTTTTAGTAATTGAGCTAGGTTATATTGTAACAAATGCTAAACTTACCTGGCAATATTAGTGTTTCCTCCAGAAGTAATGATTGCTTGCCAAGTAAACATTACAATTTCATAGCAATTAGGTGATTTACAAAAGGTGTTCATTTTTTCCTTAGCCAACTGAACCTGCATTGACTTTGAACACCCAACCATGGCCAAAAAAGAAAAATAGGATTGTTTTAGCACAGTATTGGGTAATTAAACTCAATATAGCTTCACTAAGCTATGTGAAAATAAAAATCACACCCAAATCAACCCCAGTTCTACTGCTATGCGTTAGTTTCACACATCTAAACAACAATATACATCACAATACAAATCAAAAGCAGAGTAAAAGGTATGGCATGGCATTGTCTTGGAGTTTATTGTTGAAAAGACCATTTGTACATCTGATGAATAATTGATCAGTGCAGGATGAATGAAAGAGGACAGGGAAAGTAAGCAGAGGGGAATACAGTGTAGAGGTGCAGGAGGCCAGAGCTTTGCACTAATTAGTATTTAACCATGAACAGAGACCTCTTTATACACAATGTCTTAGTATTATGTGCTCTGTCACGTTATGTATTCCATTATGTATGTATATACATATGTAAAATCACAAACTACATAACACACACCACAGTCATACATGGATGGAAAAATTATTAGATATCGTCCTAATGGGAAATTGTAACTGAAGAACAGCATTTAGAGTTTCAAATCCACCAATCATATGCAGCACAGTATATATTAAAAACAGGATATTAACAGTTGAAAACAATCCACATTACAGATGGAAAACCATAAAAGAATAAAGGAACGAGACGGGATTTCATATAGCAGATCACTGCTCAGAACTACGTAGACCAGAATGCACTGCAAGCATAAGTAAAGGTTTTGACTAAATGGCCATTATGCATATGCATATGCATACGGATCTCACTTAAATTGACATATTTCCTCCCTCTCAAGGCCAGTTACACACATCCCTCTGTAATTTTCTCTTGCTCCCTTTTCTGCTCACCTGTCCCTCTCTTCCCCTCCTCTACGCACACATCCCCC